TATTAAAAAGTAATGAACTTCTCACAAGCCTGCTCCTAGTCCCCACTAAGGTCTCTTAGAATCACCGAGGAGGGTCAGTTCACTGCATTACTTGATCCTTCAGATCTATACATCCCAAAAAGGTAGCCACTGAGCAATTAGAATGTGGCTAATCCAAATTGAGATGTGTTTTAAGTGTGAATTACGCATTGGGTTTTGAACACTTAATATTTAAAAAAAAAAAAAATGTATCTTTTTACCAAAAAACCCAAACTCACTGCCATTGAGTTGATTCCAACTCATAGCAACCTCCTTTGAGTTTCCAAGGTAGTAAACCTTTACAGAAGTAGATTGCCCAGTCTTCCTTCTGCGGAGTGGCTGGTGGGTTTGAACCTCCAACCTTCTAGTTAGCAGTCAAATGCCTTAGGCACTACACCACCAGAGCTCCTTATGTATCTCTTTACTAGTGTTTAAATACATTACTAAAATTAATTTTTCCTGATGCTTTTTAGTTGTTTTTTTTTTTAATGTGGCTACAAAAAACTTAAAATTATGTATGTATCTTGCATTCTATTTTTATTCTAGTACTGTTCAAGATGACCAGTCCATCAGCCCCCCCGGAGCTGTCCCAGTTCAGGAAGGAAGAGTCCCTTTCCCATCAAGTGATCAGAGCACCCTGGGAGCAGTGTGAGGTCTAGCCTGGGAGGAAACCCCCGAATTCCCAACTTACAGGGGTTTAGGTGGTGCCTTCCCCACTCTACTCTTGGCTCTTCCTTACCTCCGCAAGCTTTCATCCCCTAACTCTCAAAATGCAATGCAAGCCTTGTTATTTCAGAGACATGGACTAAAAAATTGTGGAATTAGGATAGCCGGGGGGCGGGGGGAAGCACACACAACCAAAATGTTCACCCTGTTAACTAAGTAGGGACTTCTGAGGCTATATTTGGTTCCTGGGTTTGACCCTGTAGCCTAAGGGTGTCCACTGATGGGAGCCAGTCATGAGTCAGGGTCTGTAGACAGGAGGCTGAGTGGGTGAGTGTCTGGGAGCCCTATGTTTGGGCTTTGAAGCCATCTGAAGTCTAATGGAGTTCCGGGCAGGGCTCTTTGAGAACAGGTCCCATACAGGGCCTCCAGGTCACACCCACTCCAGGGAGGTCTGGCTGGATTTAGACAAGGGGACCAGAATGACCCCCACGCCCACTTTTTGGCCTGGCTAATTCTTAGTCATCACTCAAGACTCTTCTTAAATGTCTCTCCTCTCTTTTTCTAGAAACCTGCATTGCCCCCACCCCACCCCCAAAGCATTACCTTGGTTCCCATTACCTGTGCTCCCAGTACTCTGAGCTTCACATGTCACAGCAGTCGTTACCCTGCAGCATTAACATTCCCTTTTTACTGATTTGGATCCTTTCACCTCACACACACACTCACACACACACACACATCAGACTATCAGGTACTGTGAGGACTGAAACAGACTCTTGTTTCCCATTGTTTTCCCGGTGTTGCACATTGTTGTTGTTGTTGTTATGTGCTGTGGAGTCGACTCATAGCGACCCCTCCTTGGGTTTCCGAGGCAGTATCACTACGGAAGTAGGATTGGAAGTAGGATTGCCCAACCTTCCTTCCGAGGAGTGGCTGGTGGGTTTGAACCGCGCCAGCCTTCTGGTTAGCAGTCAAGTGCTTTAGCCACTATGCTACCAGAGCTCCCACATATTAAGTGCAATGAATTGTTTTCCCCAAGAGCCCTTCAAGACAGGGATTGGGTAACAAGGCTCCCTCACCCAGGACCACTCAGATGGTAGGGCAGGCAAAGTTCAGCCCAGGCTCTGCACACATAACTAAGAATTCTCTGAGACTGCCTGCCGTGGACAGACAACAGCCAAGCTGAGGTGGCCCTGTCCCATGGCCCTTCATGAGCTGCTAAATACACCTTGGCTGGGAAAGAAGAGATCCCTCGTAGTCCTTCACTCTACTTCGAGTCAGAACTCGAAGTCAGGTTTCGCAATACTCTCTAGGGTCTTTGGTCATCCAAGAACTGGCCCCTAAATGCAGATCCAGATTCTAGTCAAAGAAAGCCAGAGTTAGAGGTGGGAGTGCCCAAGACATCACAGGAGAAAATTCCAAAAAATAGAGGAAAATCAGTCATCTGTAGACACTTCCATTTTAATCTTTGGATTCCATTTTACATTCATTCCTTTGGTTCATATTGAGTACTTTTTATGTGTCTGGCAGTACACAAGGGTGGCGGCACAAACAGGTCAGTGCTCAACTACTTGCCAAAAGGTTGGTGGTTCAAATCCACCTAGAGATGCCTCAAAAGACAGGTCTGCTTGGAAAACCCTATAGAGCAGTTCAACTCTGCACACATGGGGTCATCATGAGTCAAGATCAACTCAATGACAACTAACATCCACAACAATGTATGCAAAGTGTTGAGAATACCTGGAATCAAGCTTAAGCCTGAAAGGGAATCTTAGGTTCATCTTACATATAAAGAAATGTTCACTTTATCTGGCTAATTACCACATGTCCTTCAGGTCTCATCTCAAAAGGCTCTGTCTCAGGAAGTCACCCCTGACCAACCTCCTCCTGTTATACATTCACTTACTCCAATGGCATCCCTGTTCTTGCCCCAGGACAACACCTCTCCCTCTATGTAGGATCTGCTTGTTTATTTCTCATGAGGCTGAGAATTCTCTGAGGGCAGAGATCATGTCCATTTTGTCACCATTATAGCCCCAGGCCCAGCACTAGTGGATACCAGTATTTGTAGAATGAATGAAGTGACAAAGAGAAGGCCACAGAACTGGTTGGTTTCAGAGTCAGGACTCGAACTCAGGTTTCCCAACACTCAGTCTTGTTCTAGCTCATATGTCACCCATGTTTCCTCTTGAGAGTTCTCATCTCTCTGAATGGCTCCAGTTAGCTGGGTCAGAAATGTACACAGATCTTAGGCAGGAAAGGAAACAGCAGATCAGAAAGCTATCTCTTTGGGCCTTGATCTACTTTTCCTAGATAAAGAGGAGAGGCTAGTAGAGGAAGAGTCAGACTGGCTACCACCTCCTATGGCCCTCTAGATTTGGAGAGGGTTGTGAGTCAGCTGTTCTTACATAACCTGGATCCTCTCTAGCTACAAAGGAGTCAAAGGGCCAAGCCATTCTCCATTTCTAACTTACACTAGAGAAGATGGTTGGAAAGTGGGCAGACACTGAATGCAGAATTCAGCCACTGAGGAGCTAGTCCTTATTGATCCTCAGCAAGCTCTGATGGAGCTTGCTCCACGGCTGGAGGCATCATCCTCCTGGGGATGGCGCTGGGGGAGATCCCTCAGCACAGCTGGGATCCAGTCAGTGCACTAAGTCGCTTGCAAGAGGAGTTGTAGTCCTTCACTCTTCTCCCCATAGACCAGAATCTGAATCCCAGCTCTGCCATTTTCTTGCCATTTGTGGGAACTTGGTCAGAATAATAGCCACCTCAAAGGTTTAGGTTATTATAAGGACTAAAGGGGAAATGTTCCTTTCACCCATCTTACCCACATTTAAAGGGTAGAGGGAAGCCTGTGAAGGCTCTCATTTTACTCCTTGATGAGCACTCAGAATGGAGATTCTGGACCTATTGCTCCAGGCTTCAAAAACCAAGCTAAAGTGGATGACTTCACAATAGGCCTTGTGGCTCCAAAATCACACAGAAGAAAACCATAGGCCAGCTATTTATTTTAGATTTAAGGAGCACACACAAAAAAAAAAATGCGGGTTAAATAGTAAACCCACTGCCATTGAGTGGATTCTGACTCATAACGACCCCTGTTGTGTTTCCAAGGTTGTAAATCTTTATGGAAGTACATCTCATCTTCTTCCCAGGGAGCAGCTGGTGGATTTGAACTGCCAGCCTTCTGGTTAGCAGACAAATGCCTTACTCACTATGCCACCAGAACTCCTTGGTTAAATAGTGGGAGTGTAATATTATACTTCTTTAATTAATGAGTGTTTTGAATGTTTCTCATTTGGCTCTCTCCACTTCCAACACTTCATAAATTCTACCACATCTTGAGGGACCCACTCAACTTTAGAAGCCCTCTGATCTACTTTGATGAAGAGGTATGAACTTCCCTAATCCTACTTCTAGGATCCAAGTAAGGTTCATCTAACTGAAGACATGTGAACCCAGAACGCTACAACAGCTCTCTGCCAACTTTCTCACTTAGTTGGAGTCTGCCCGCAACCCCCACCGGACTCATTTCTGCTTTATGGGCTTGAAGAAATGGTCGAATGACTTTATAGATTTTTTTGGCTTAGGCAAAGCAAATTACTCAGGATAGAGAAATATTGTGGTGGCCTCTAGAGCAGTCAGATTGCCTGTTGCTGAAAATACAACGGAACGACAATAAAAACCAAACTAAACCCATTGCCATGGAGTCGATTCAGACTCACAGCGAAACTATAGGTCAGAGTAGAACTGCCTTATAGGGTTTCCAAGGCTGTAATCTTCTCGGAAGCAGACTGCCTCATCTTCCCCCACCACCCCCGACCCCACATGGAGCAACTGGTAGATTCAAACCGCCAACTTTTCGTTTGGCAGCAGAGCGCTTTAACCACTGTAAAACCAGGCTCCTCAGAGCAATTCTAAGGGCCCTAAAGTAAGGTTCTGGACCTCAGCAGTACCAACCTACCAAGCAGCCTGCCCTAGGGTCCTCTGTTCCCCATTCTTGTCACTCAAAGAAACCCGCGGACCCCTGTGGGCGGGTCTCCATTGACACCTTTTCTAGCCAGGCGGAGGGGAGAGGGGGCCGAAGACTGGCATGAGCCAATGCGGGAGGCCCTGGTCACGCTCAGCGGGCGAGCAGCCAATGGGAGCCCGGAGGCGTGGCCAGGGCCTAAGGCTCTGAGCCTTGATAAGAACTTGGAATGCTGCGCTTTCCAGCGAGCTCTAGTGCGACTGTGGCTTCCCCGCCGGGACAAGAGATACATGTACAGGGTTCTAGCTTTCCCCGCTCAGCCGATTACCCCTTCACCCTCGCTGACCTTCTGCCCGCTATGGAGTCCTTGGCTTTTCCCCGGCGCCCCGGCCCGGCTCCCTCGGCCGCAGAGCTCTCCCGGCCTCTGGCCGACGGACTCATCAAGTCGCCCAAGCCGCTGATGAAGAAGCAGGCGGTGAAGCGACACCACCACAAACACAACCTGCGGCATCGCTACGAGTTTCTGGAGACCCTGGGAAAGGGCACCTACGGGAAGGTGAAGAAGGCACGAGAGAGCTCCGGGCGCTTGGTGAGTGCGATTCCCTCTCTTGGCGCCCGACGGGCAGGAGACACTGCCGCACGCGAGGAATAAAAAAGGAAGGGTTGGAGGCTCGTGCATTGCTCAGTGGAGTTGCCAGCATTCAGTCTTTTGACACACTGAGCAGGAGGCCGGGAGTGGGGTGGAAGTCGGTCCACTGCAGATGTGTGGAACCTAGGAGGACAATAGTTTTGGACCTGAGAAACCAACAGCACCAGGCAGTGTGTGATGATGGCCAGATCAGTGAAGGAGATGCTTGGCGCAGGGTATGAAAGAGGGATGGTACCCTGGCTTGGGACGGAGAAGGCTCCCTAGAGAAAATGCGACTTCAGTTAAAATTTGCTTGAAACAGACTATCCAGTAAAGTGGAAGGAAGTGGACTGCATGTAGGGGTTTAATAAATATGTGTGGGGTTGAATGAATGAATGAAGTATCCAACTTGGTTCTAATAGCATGCTATAGAGATCTGCACAGTGTTGGGGTTAGAGTGTGTCCTTTCCAGCTGTAAAATTGAGTGGAAGTTTCATTGTGATAAGTTTTTGATTCTGTTAAATGTGAAACCAACTTCTGGTGCAAGGTCTACTGTGGCCCAAGATATTTTTGGGTGTGAGGCCCTTTCCAAAACTTGTCCTGTTAATTTGGTGTGGTGTGTGTATGTGAGATAGTATATATAGTATATGGAACGTGTGGCCTTGGGCAATTCACTTCATCACCATTTATTTTTCAATTTCCCTTTCTACAAAAATGGGGAAAATACTACCTCCCTCACAAGCAGCTATGAGAATTGAACACATCAAAGTGTTCTGATGCACAAAACCTGAGCACTAAATCTGAATCTGTAAAGGCTAACTCTGAAAGGTTAGTCAACAGTGGTTCTCAGACTTGAGTGTAAAGTGTATAGCAATCACCTAGGGGTGCTTGTTTAAAATATGTACTCTGGTCCCACACTCAGAGGATTTTATTCTGAAGTTCTATGATAGGGCTATAAAATCTGCATTTTAACAAATCTTTTTGGGAAGGTAAACTAGAGGTTATCATTTGCCAAACCCAGTTGGGTGCTGTTGGGGGGGGGGTGTGGTTTGCCCTATTGGCTATGGCAGCGGCCACCTCCCCAGATTGTGTTTGCTTTTGCAGCCAGTATCTGGTTTGAAATTCAAGAAGTTATTTCATTGGTGAAGGAGAGTGGATTCTGGAGAGAGGGAGTGGATTATGGTCCCCTCAATAGGACCAAGTATGTTTTTCCTGCTAGTGCTTGGCACAGTCCCCAGTTGCCCGCTGCCAGGTTACAGCTATTGGGCAATCATGTACTTCCTGGCTTTCCTTTTCTCTTTCTATAAAGTGCAAGGACCCGATGAGGCTCCAGGCTTGAGACTGCTGGGCCCAGGCTTTGTCAGGGGCTTAGTAGGAAAATAGCTGCTCGTGCCTCATGCCTCTTTCCTCTTGTTGGGGAGAAGACTGGGTCATGGGGACTGGAGTGGCCCACAAACTGAGACCCCATTAGGCTTTGGCCTGCATGAGCCTGTGTATGGGGTATGTGTGGGAGGTGTGGTTAAAGAGAGAGATCTCATTTGATCCTGGAGTAAGATAAACCAGCTTTCAGTTTTCAAACCTCAGTGGCTCCAGGCAGGGATTCCAGCTCTTATTACATCAGAAAAGAGAGAATTAGAATCCAGAAGGTACTCCCTGGGCTAATGTCTCTGGCATAAAGGAGCCAAGATCAGTTAGTGGGACCTGCTCTAAACCTTCCTGATCAATCAGTCCACCACCTGGTGGGAACTGGCTCAGAGCCTCGCCCCTTCTTGGGCAGCAGCTGTCCTGCTGTGCTAATGGTTTCTCAATGCTGGAGAATAGTCCTTTTACCCCACCCCCATCCTACCTGCAGACCCTCCTTGGAAAGAGAGAACTGGTATCTCAGGATACTTCAGGAGTATAGGGTGGGTTTACTGCCCAAGAATTTTCCCCAAAATGATCTGAGACTGTTGGTGGAAGTCAGATTCAGAAGAAAGCCTGCTGGGTGACTCCCACCCCAGTTTTCTCTCCATTTTCCTAGCTCACTTCCCATTCCCAACCTGCCTACATGGGATTGTTAGGGGCCAGATGGGATAGTTTGGAGGGCAGGTCAGGCAGGTGGGTGGGACTAATGGCTGCTCCAGGAGGGCATCAAAGGAAAAACAAATATTTGCTCTGGATCTTCTAGTCTCCTGAGTACATTCCTGGCGTCCAAATGACATTTCCTCCTGTGGCTGTGGCCAGCGTCTCTGACCTCCCTTTCCCCAAAGAGGAAAAACATGCTAGGGGCCCTGGAATGGTAAAGTCCCCCTGGAATGGTGAAGTCCCCCAAGCCTTTGGGATGATCTAGGTGGAATTCTCACCTTCCAAGAGGGTATCATGGGAGGCATGAAGGGAGGCCACGTGGCCAGTGCTCTGGGGTGGGGATGCTTCTGTCTCGTATATTAGATTGCTGCATGGATTTCAAGATGTTTGAACATGACTGAGATGGTCCAATCCTTTCATTGGCAGAAGGGGTAACTGAGACCCAGAGAAGAGATGTAACTCATCCTGATTAGTGCCATGTCTAGAACATGCCTTGGACAGCCCCAGTCCCTTGGATGACCATGTACTGAGAGGCTTGGACTGGGAGTTGGCCTTGAGATGAGCCCGGGCTTGCCTCAGTGTGCTTTGTCATGTGCTTTGTCATTCCAGCACTCAGGCTGCCTTTCCCAGTGCTCAAGGCAGTGCTTAATGTGGGAGAAGTCACTGGGAACCAAACCCCACCCCACATACTGAGTATGTTGAGGGATCTGGGGTGGGTGAACTATACTACTTTCCTATCTGGAAGGTTGCTTAGTGTAGGGTCAGATTGTAAGAGTTCTAATTCTGGGTCTATTGCTGTATGACCTCCCTGTATCTCAACTTCCTCATCTATAAAATGGGCATAATAATAATTCCTACTTTATAGGTTTCTTGTAGGATTATATAAAATAATATATGTAAAGTGCTTCACACAGTATCTATCACACATGGTATTATTATCCCAGCAAGGCTGGCTTTCATCATAACCTCCCGTCACTCTCCTGGGGAGACCTCCCCACCCCTCATCCCCTGCCCCATCTTGGGTCTGCCTTGCCCTGAGCAAGAAAATTAATTGTGCTCAACTTCCTTAAGCCAAACCACTTTGATTTTTGCTTTGTTCAAAGTCCTTATCTCCCTTTTGGCCTCAGTTCTAGAGAAGGGTTCCCGCATGACCAGTGGCCCAAGGCCTCTTTCTCAGACACTTTCCTCCCAGCACCTCCTGCACCTGCCTGCTCAGCAGCAACAGAGAGAGGCTCCGGCTGCAAGCGATTCTTGTCCTTGGGCTCCAGCCAAACCACACAAGAGGGCTGGGCAGGGAAGCTTCTTGCCTGGCAACCTGACAGAGTGGGCTAGAGGGTGGCAAGGAGGCAGACATGGTATGGGGCTTTGGGAAGGCAGCTTAGGCTCCCCTTCAAGCCCATTTCTGCTTCCTGCCTGGCTCTCAGCAGGTTTGGTTGGGTAGCTGAAATACCACCAACACCGCCGCCCCCCACCCCAGGCCCGTCCCCACTCTGCCCAGCCCAGCCAGGCCAACTTCTCCGTTATCTAAATGGGTCATCCTCCCCTCGCCTTCCAGATGGCAACTGCCCTGTGAAAAGCCAGAGATGAGTCCAGGATCTTGGCCCCACCTCTAGGCGATAGCAGTGACCAGAGATGCCCAGCTTGCACCCTTACTCTGGTACCTGGCACCCACACCTCTGGATCTTTTTCTAGGACCTTTCTATCATCCTTTCTAGAATCCATATCATTCCTGATTTGAGTTCCTGGGAGGGAGGCAATGTTTACCAAATGAGCCCCAGCACCTACCTCTTCTGGGGTGTTGGCAAAGGATAGGGTGTGTTTGTATGTCTATAAGTGGGAAGGGGTGGTTGGTGGTGCTGCCCAGTCTGGCCCAAGGCAAGATGTGGGGCATTCCCTTCTCCAGGATGGGAGGAATGGAGCTGGAGGTAGGGCAGAACATCTCCAAGGAACTTTTGTTTTCTGAGATGGCAACTTCTCAACTGCCTTCTCAAGATGGCAACAGCACCCCTCCATCTTGGATCCTGACTTTGCCTCTGATATGTTGAGGGATCTTGGAAGATCTTTCTGGACTCCAGTGTTTGCCGTTCACAAAATGGGTTAGGGAATTAGCCCTGTTGTCTTTCCAATGTGCAGAGTCACCATAAAAACAAAACCAAACTCACTGCCATTGAGTCAGTGAGTGACCCCCATTGGGTTCCCAAGGCTGTAAATCTTTACGGAAGCAGACTGCCCCCTCTTCCACAGAGTGGATGGTAGGTTCAAACCATTGGCCTTCTGGTTTGCAGCCAAATGCTTTAACCACTGCACCACCAGAGCTCCTTTGCATAGCCACAGGGGCAAGAAAATCACTGGATGATATTGGTAGGAATTTTGGTCAGGCAGGTGAGCATGGTCATAGTATAGGGCCTCTAAACAAACTTCTTATCACACAGTCCTTGGCAAAGTACCCCCCCTGGTATCTTGGCCCATTTCAGGAGAAGCTTAGCATGTAGAATGCTAGAGTTTAGAAGGGAGCTTAAAGATGCATAACATCGTGAAGGGCTCCTTTCCTTCTGGCCTTCGCTCAGATCTTTCTCTCTGCCTGTAGTGTCCTTGTTGCCTTTCTCCTAAGGGTGGTTTTCCCTGCTCTCCCAGCCAAAGAAAGCTCCCTCCAGTGCTCCTGGAGCCCCTCAAGGAACAGGGACCTATCTCTGTCACCTTCATCACACGAGACCAGAGTTGTTGTAACTTCCAGTTCTCTTATAGAATTGAGGGCCCTGGAGCAGGGGCTGTCTCACTTTTGTCTGAATCCTCAACACATAACACAGCATCAGGCGTGTAGTAGGTGTTTAGCATATGTTTGGAGAATGAATGATCTTTTATTTTTCAGGTGAGGAAACTAAAACTAGCCAGACCAGTTAACCAAATAATTTGAGTGACTTGACCTATATTGTAAAGCTCCTAGCTTATTTCCCTATCAGGGCAAATAAAGAGTAGAAACCTGGACTCTTGACACCTACTCTGCTGATTGGATATCTGTTTAGTTTAGTTATCATCACTGTGGTTAAGTTTCCTTCTCCCTCTGAGCAGGGGGCCATAGACTATTGTCTACATTGGATACTTTGGACAGTGAAAAAGAGGTACTATCAATAATTATACTAGGACTATGTTGAGATGTGTAGCCTTCCAGCCTCTGGGCAATCCATCTAACAATTTCTGCCCTCTTCCTTGGATCTAGTAAGTTTGTTTTCATTCTAGAGAATGGTTGCCCAAATATCTTGCAGATGAGAATAAAGGTCCCTTAAAATTGGTCCTTGTAACTGAAGTTGACACTCCCTCCATGTATGCCTGGGAAGAAAGGGAGGAAATTGTATCTGGGCACTGGTCTCATCAGTAAGGGATCAGCCCAATGATTTAACCAATAAATACTTGTTTGTGATTTATATTCACTAGCAGACAATCATTGAAACTTTCTGTGTGCTGAACTCTGTGTAGGCCTGAGCTGGTACAGGCCTGAACTGGTGCCTAATTTACAGGCTGACTGGCAAATAGCCTGTGAGGCTGGGATGGGCTGGGGTGCAGTGGCCCAGCCCCACCTGGGGAGTGACACACCATTTTTCTTGTCTATCACCTGCTTGGAAACTCGTGGAGGCCTGATGACATAACTTGTTTCCATCCTGTGGAATGTTAGCCAAGCTGTGGTATCCTAGGACCTAATGTGGATAACTGCAGGGTCCTTGAGTCAGCTCCCTGAGGCCAGAGTAAGAGTTGGTAGAAAGATGGAACTGTCCATTAAAGATGAACAATTCTGATTTAGAATTACTGGCTTCCAAGGTTGAAAGAAATGGACCTCAGTGTTTAATTTGTACATTCTCTATGACTCTTACTCACCCCTACCAAACCAAAACCAAACTCACTGCCATCAAGTTGATTCTGATTTATAGCAACCCCCATTGTATTTCCAAGGCTATAAATCTTTACAGAAGCAGACTGCCCCATCTTTCTTCCACAGAGCAGTCGATGGGTTCAAACCACTGACTTTTTGTTTGGCAGCCAAATGCCTTAACCACTATACCACCGGAGCTCGTTGTTGTTGTTGTTGTTGTTATGTGCCGTCGAGTCGGCCCCGACTCATAGCGACCCCTCCTTGGGTTTCCGAGGCAGTATCACTACGGAAGTAGGATTGCCCAACCTTCCTTCCGGGGAGTGGCTGGTGGGTTTGAACCGCCAGCTGTCTGGTTAGCAGGCAAGTGTCTTAGCCACTATGCTACCGGAGCTCCTTAGTCACTCCTAAAACCCCTTTAATTTCTAATAACCCCATTTCTTTTAGGCCATTTCTTCTTTAGAGCCCTGCCCCATAGACTTGTGATGTTTTTTCTAACTATTGTATGTGTTTCTGTGAACATGGTTGTACATCCAACATGTGCCTAGATTTTGCATATGAGTGTATCTTAAGCTTTCAATTTTTTAATCTATTTTAATTGCCTAACTATGTTATTTGTGCTTACGTATTTTATTCTTTTAATAAAATTTTTATGGCCATTTGTCTCTGAAGAACAACATTTTATCCATTGCCATCTGATTTTAAGAACAGAATTTTAGGAAGAAAAAGCCTAGTCCTTAAAATCTCCTCTTCAGGAAGAGTGGGGTATGTGTGAGAATGGTGGAGGCAAGCTGTGGAGAGAGAGCTATGTGGTAATGATACAGCAGGTTGAATTTAAAAGAGACAGGTGCCTTATATTGGGTAAGAACTCAAGCCACCAGACCCAACCCAATCTCAAGCCTAGGGAATTTTCTGCTAAGCTTACTAGGGAGAGATGGATGGTCTGAAGCAGAAGGAGTGGGATGTGAAGAGAGAGGAGGAGGTGCAGCCCCATCCCCTGCAGCTGCAGCATGGGCCTCTCCTGCGTCCTGGGAGGAGGCACCGTATAGTGACCGTCCCTCCTGCCTGCCATTGTCCTCCTTGCCCTGCTCTGAGAGGGCCCTCAAGCTGGGCCTCCCCTCTTTCACAGACGCAGCTTCAGGGGAGGGGCAGGACAGAGGGCACACCATCCCTGGCCCGTTGCCGGGGTGACCGGGCCACGGGCATTGTGAACAGCTCCTCTTACAGGATTATAGCTGTTGGGCTGTTCCGCATTCTTGTCTGATGGGCGAACACAGGCCGCCAGGGCCTACTGTCCTCTTGAGCCGGAAGCCATTGTCTGGCTCCAGAGCCCTGTGAAAGGGTGGATTAGAGGCCCCTCCCCTTGAGCAGTGGTTTCCTTTTTTCTGTCTCCCTTTGAATCCCTCCCGAGGGGAGGCAAACTCTCCTGGGAAATAGAATGAGGAGCTGTTTACCTCAGTCTGTGTTTTCTGATTTCTTATAACTTGCCTGTCTCCCATGAAGAAGTCTTGTGTTTACCATTCTTGTCCTTGGTCAGGACTTGCCAGGAACTGACTGGCCCAGTGACAACCCCTCCTGCCCAACTACCCAACTCAGCACCTGACGCCAACGTTACAGGCTCTGAGGCCCTGTGGCGTGTGTATGGCTCACAGGAAAGCATCTTGGACATCTTGGTCTAACCTATTTATTTCACAGAAAAGAAAACTGAGGCTCTGAGAAGGGGTGGGACCTGTGCACACAGACAGAGGTGGGGCCTACCAGAGCCCAGGTCTCCTGACTCCCAGGATGAACTGCTGGCCCTGCTTGCTGTTATTATCCTCTTCCCCGTGCCTTCCCCTCACCCTCCTAGCTCCAACATTGCTGGTCTATTCTCCAGTGAGATGGAATAGAGAAAGAGACTGCCACCCCTTAGTTATAAATTGGTTGCTTGAACTGCATTTTGGCACTTCCTTCTCCATTTCCTCTTGCTTCACCCCACCCTTCCTGAGCCCACACGACATGTACCAGCTAGAAGATTTAATCCTTATATGGTGCTTTTCACCTTTACACCTGAGATTACAAGATTACAAGGCCCCGTAGGCTTCTGTCTAACTGGCTGGTTGTGTGTTGGTTATTGGGAAAGGGACATTCCTTACCTAGACTGAAGAGACTGGTTATTTGTAGCAAGTTAAGGTGTTTGGTGGGAAAAGTTCCAGATCTGGAATCAGATGGCAAATAATTTGACTCCAAATTCTGCCTGCCTATTATGAACAGTATGATCTTGAATGGGTCATTTAACCTCTCTGGGTGCCAGTTTCAAAAGGAGCCCTGTGGTTAAGTGCTCTGCTCCTAACCAAAAGGTCAGCAGTTTGAACCCATTCACTGCTCTACAGGAGAAAGATGAGGCAATCTATTTCCATAAAGATTTATAGCCTTAGAAATCTTATGAGGAAGTTCTATCCTGTCCTATAGGACTACTGTGAGTCAGGATCAACTTCATGGCAATAGATTGGGTCCCATTTTCCTCATCTGTAAATGAGGATATTGATACTTTCAGTGTCTACCTCCTGGAGCAACTGTGAGTAGCATGCATTTACTAATTTAACTAATGATTGGTTATTCAGTACTTACTGTGTGCCAGGTACAAAGGTCCAATGGTAGGCAGAAGATGCCCAATCTTTGTGTTCATGGTGTAGTAGATACAACATCTGACAAACTCCCTTAGTCAATCATATTAAGCCTCAGCCATATGGGTACAGAATATTCATCTGTGGATTCTGCATAAGGAGGACATTGGTCCATCCATCTTCCTGTTGCATGTGCTGCCCCAGACCCAGGGGAGAACCTTCTCTCCAGCCTCTCTGCCACCTATCTCAGTGAAGCATGGAGTGGCTTCTCTAGGTATACCCAGTGGCCTTTGTAACAGCTGCAGATAGACTACCAGCGTCCAAACCCCCAGAGTGTCCTCAGGGTTGCCTTTACCTGCCAAGCCTCTCTCCTAACCCTCCTGGCTTCTCTGTTCCTAGGTGGCTATCAAGTCAATCCGCAAAGACAGAATCAAAGATGAGCAAGACCTGATGCACATACGGCGGGAGATTGAGATCATGTCTTCACTGAACCACCCCCACATCATTGCCATCCATGAAGGTACAGAGGTGGGAGTTTGAAGCTTGGAGGTGGAAGTCTTTGTGTCTTTGATGGGAGGTGTGGGATAGTCAGAACAGCAGACACAAAGAAGTAAACAAAAAGTAGGCTTTAGAGTTGGACAAACACTGACTTTAAAACTCAGCTGTATGACTTTGGGCAACTAACTTAATTTTACTCTGGATCTCAGTTCCTCATTTTAAAATGGGATATCTGACCTGTGTCACAGGGTAGCTGCAAAGGTCAAATTAGATTACATCACCAAGTGCCCAGCTTATGGGAGGTGCTCATGAATTTCAGACTTTTTTGTTATTGTTACGTTTTCCCTACTTGAATACATCTCCACAGCCCAATGAGATCCTTGGCAATCCCAGGAGAGGCTTAAACATACATAGACATGCACCTGTCTCAAGTGTATGGCTGCTATTCCTCATGCATCCCAAGAGCCAGGCCTCTTTGAGTCTGACCTGTACTCTGAATCATTCCTGCCACAGGGCTGGCTTTTACCTCCTCTCCTTGTCTCTCTCAGCCTCCTCTTGCTCTGACATCAGTGTTGGCTTGCTGTTCCAGCTGCCCTCTTCTCTGTGACCCAAACAATAAAGTGAGCCAGCGAAGGGGAAAAGGGAACGAGGGGAAGCACCCTCCCACTCACACCTGTCTGCTTGGAGCCTTTACCTAATGTCAGTTAGACTGGAAACAAGAAACAAGGGCTAGCAGTAGCTGCAGGAGGATGGGAAGGGAGCCTATGGTTTTGCCCCTTCTCTGCATATTTCTGGTAGAAAGAAATAGGAAAGTCTCCCCTCGCAAGTTCTTCCCATTAGAAGACTATAAGGGCAGAGCCACTGACACAGCCTTGGGGCCTGAGCCTGTCCCACAGTGAACCTGGGCGAGTTGCTGAGAAGGCTAATTGTATCTGTGTGTATTTCCCCCAGGGAAGAGTGGGCAGATGACTGAATATTGCTTAAACCAGGCTGAGCGTGGTTATTGGGCAGTGTGTAGGGGTGTGTGTGTGTGTGTGTGTATGTTTGTGTGAATTCACCCCACACCCGTATCTTCAGTTAGGTCTAGGAACTGAGCTTTGAAGCTCAGGATGTGGCTTCTCTTACTGTATGTCTGGCAGGGCTCCCCCATCTTTCTATAGGCTTCAAGGCTTCAGGGGGTGTGGATTAAGGGGTGACAGGAGCTGACCTCTCACCCAACCACTCCAGAATGTACACTGGCTGGCTCTTGACCCCCATTTTCATGGCACAGAGGTTGCATTTGCCACTGCAGGGATACCAAGAACTACAGGGTAGAGCCAGCCAGATACCACACAGAATGCTGGGCTACCAGCATCCCTGGAGAAAAGCCCAGTCCTGGCCATGTGTCCAGTTGCCTGGGATCTGGGACTTCTCTTGGGTGAGGCCTCCTCCTGCATCTCCTTCTCAGAGGCTAGACAGCAATAGCTCTGGGCTGGCTGAGCAGGCCAAACTCCTAGGACCCGTTTGACACAGTTATAATGTCGTGAACATACATGTGCTGACACACACTCAGCTGAAGGGCCAGTTTGGCGAACCAGCCCCTCCCTGACTTTCCAGGCGGCTGGAGACCAGCCAGCTAGGGTGGGCTGAAGGCCAGGAACCTTAAGCATTCAATTAATTAAAACCAGAAAACCAAACCTGTTGCCTTTGAGTGGATTTCAACTCATAGCAACCCTATAGGACAGAGTAGAACTGCTCCATCCAAACCAAAAACCAAACTTACTGCCATTAAGTAAGTTCTGACTCATACCAACCCCTCCTTGGGTTTCCAAGGTGGTATCTCTACAGAAGTAGATTGTCCAGTCTTCCTTCCAAGGAGTGGCTTGTGGGTTTAAACTGCCAGCTTTTTGGTTAACAGTCAGATGCCGTAGGCACTATGCCACCAGAGCTCCCCAGAACTGCCCCATAGGGATTCTAAAGCTGTAATCTTTACAAAGCAGACTGCCACATCTTTCTCCAATGGAGCAGCTAGTGGGTTTGAATCACTGACCTTTTGATCAGCAGCCAAACACTTAACCACTGTGCCACCAAGACTCCTTTGTCAGTTAATTACCAAATATTTATTGATCACTCTGTGCAGGCCCTGGCCTGGATACTTTGGGGGAGTCAGTGATGAGAGTGATTATACTATCTCAGCTCTTCAATGCACTTTATAGTTTACAAACCACTTTTTTGGGGGGAATCTTCTCTATTCTTTTTTTTTTTTTTTAATTGTGATTTGGGTGAAGATTTACAGAGCAAATTCACTTTCCATGTAGCAGTTCACATATACTTTGTCTCATGACATTGACCGCAGTTTACCACAATGCAACAGCTCACCACCCACTTCCTCCCCATAGTTACCTCTTCCCTGTGTCCATCCCTCCATGCACTCCTGCAACCTGAGCTATCTCCCTGTGCATAAGCAGCCCTTCTTTGTCCCATGACTGTTCTCTCCAAGGAGAATATCTACTTGAAGTAAATATTCAACTCATATGCCTGTCTTTTTGACAAACCATTTTTTTATACCTTATCCAAGGTATAAACCTCAAGGCGGGTATTATTTTTGAAATTTATATATAAGAACACTGATAATAATATTTAATAGTGTTGTTGTGTGCTGTCGAGTCAATTCTGACTCCTAGCAACCCTATAGGACAGAGTAGAACTGCTCCATATGGTTTTTGAAGCTATAATCCTTGGTGGCATGCACAGAGCCCCTGGTGGGTTTGAACCACCAACCTTTCGGTTAGCAGCCCAGCACATAATCATTGTACCACCAGGACTCCTAACATGTAACAGTTGTTGTTGTTGTTATTGTTGTTGTTGTTATGTGCCGTCGAGTGGGACCCGACTCACAGCGACCCCTCCTTGGGTTTCCGAGGCAGTATCACTATGGAAGGAGATTGCCCCATCTTCCTTCTGAGGAGTGGCTGGTGGGTTTGAACCGCCAGCCTTCTGGTTAGCAGTCAAGTGCCTTAGGCACTATGCTACCATGTAACAGTAGGTACCATTTATTGAGGTACCGTTTATTGAGGGTGTGTTTATGTGCCAGATTCTATGCCAGCTAGCTCAGCCTGCCCTAGATCTATCCCTGACTTTTTATCTATTTCTTACCCCAGCCCTGGGAGGTGCGATTATCATCTCACTTTTCAAATGAGGAAACTGAGGCACAGATGTTGAATAACTAGCCCAAAGTCATGTAGTAGTAAGTCATCAGGATTCAAACTCCAAATCAGCATTCTTACTGCTATGTGGAAGAGATTGGCCCAAGGTCATAAGGCAAGAAACACTGGAATCTGAACCAGAGATCCTGACCTTTCATTCCCATCCAGTGATGTCACTGCTTTCCTGTGAGTTTGCAGGGTAGTTTTAAGAATCCTCAAAAGCCTGGAATTCCAAGGACAGGGAGGGAGGAGCAGTTCCCTTGGCCTTACCTCATTGCTCCTGGAAGGTGCTGAGAACCTTAAAGGCCCTTCTCCTGCCCTTCCTGACCATCCACCTGCCCCCATAGCAGACCCTCTGCAGGGAGGTCCTGTCTAATTTTGGGCCAGAGAGGAGCAGTGCACTCTGGGAGAGCCTGACATTCCCACCTGGTTCTGCACAGTGTTTGAGAGCAGCAGCAAGATTGTGATTGTCATGGAGTATGCCAGCCGAGGCGACCTGTACGACTACATCAGTGAGCGGCAGCGGCTCAGCGAGAGTGATGCCAGGCATTTTTTCCGACAGATCGTCTCTGCCGTGTCCTACTGCCACCAAGTAAGCACCCACCTGCCCAGCCCTACTCCAGGGTTGGGGTGCAGGGGTTCTGGGGCTACTTTGGACCTGAGAGATTCAATGACTTGTCCAGGATTACGTAAGGAGGCAGGAACAGAGGCAAGACCAGATTCTAGACCCTCAGAAAGGGACATGCTGTTTTTTGTTTTGTTTTGTTTTGTTTTTAATTTTATGTTCTTATTCCAGTAGATGGGCCTGTGATTTTTTGGGCTATGCACCAATGAAGATGGGCATTCTTAGCCTACCTGGTCTCAAACTTACTCCCTTTCCTTTGTGTTTACCTCATTTTCCAGATTAGGCCCTTCCCCCCCACCCCGTGACCTGCCACTGACTCTCCTCCCTCCCTCTTTCAGAATGGCATTGTCCACCGAGATCTCAAGCTGGAGAACATCCTATTAGATGCCAATGGAAATATCAAGGTGAGTTCTACTTCTTATTTCCAGTAGCTTCTCCACCCCACCTCAGCCTTTCTATGTAGTCCCTAGCTAAGAGTCTCTAAACCCTTAGGAGGTTTGAGAAGGAGTTGAACATTGCTCAGACTTATACTTTGGTGCTGGTGGGAACCTCAGTCATTATCCATTCCAAGTCCTCATATTATGGATAGAAAACTGAGGCCCCAAGTTGAAGCATGACTTGCACAGTAGTTTGGCCAAGATCTTCTTGCTTTTGACATCACTTGGCTGCAGGATCACAGATCTAGTGTGAGCTTTGGCCTGAGTTCTCCCCACCTGCATGAACACACACACACTTGCATGCATACATACTTTGATCTGCTGCCAATAGCTAGCCCTTTAGCACCTGTCCTCACAGACCTAGCGTACTGGCGCTAGCTTCCTGCTTCCCACAGCTGCTGGATTCCTATGCCTAAATAGTTAAATTTAGTTTAGGAGAAGTTTATGCTGATGGGTCACACTCAGATCCCAAGGCTGGAAGGGGAGAATGGCAAGGACTGGCCAGGAACTCAAGAAGGGAGGCTTCCTCCTGCCGGCCTCTGAGAAGGACTCTGGCTCTGCCTCCTGAGCCTTCTCAGAATTTTCCTGAACTCAGGACAGCAGTCTCTTCTCCAGTGGCCACTGACTCATGCCCTGAAGTATCCTTGCCCTGAGTTTCATTCCCACCAACCAGTAGATTCCCAGTATGGGTGGGGCTTTCTTTGATGCCCCACCAATAAAGCCAGATAACTAGGACCAGAATGAACTTTCCCATCTATACCAATTACTTGCCTTGTTATGGGCTTCTCATTATGGGCTGCCTCCTTCTAACAGCTTGATAAGGGAACCAATAAAACAATAAACGAAGGAGCCAGAGTAGTATAAACAACTCATCCCAACCTGGGTACACATAGCCCTCTGATGAAAGAGAAGAGGTCAGGAGCAACAGGGCATTGACCTCAGCCTCTATCTGAAGATAAATAGGGAAAGGATCTCTCCAGGATGGAGGGGATCTTGTTGGGACTCAGATCATCAGTGTTAGGTAGCTCAGAAAGTCCTAAGAGATGATTTCTTCTCCTGGCCTGTAACCACAACCCTGATCTTTTTTGTCCTCTGCCATTGCTTCTCAGCAACACCAGGTTGATTCCTGGTTCCTATCACCAAGGCCTGCCCAAGGGTGGGCAGAGAGATGAGCTTTTTGCTAGAAAGGGCAGCTCAAGCCTTGTGTGGGCTGCATGAGCTTGCATGATCACTGATGAGGCTTGCTTGCTTCTGAGGGCCACGGCCTTGGCTGAGAAGTTGACTCTCTCCCTTCATCCAGTAGACCCTCCTTTCAGTCAGTAAGGGTCCATTGAGTCACACCTGTGCTAGAAGCTGTGAGGGCTGGGGCAAAAGAAGTTTGGCAAGGGAAGTGTACAATCTGGCTGAGAAGCAGAGCTCACAAGCCAGGCTGCCTGCAGTGAGCCATTGGAAACAGTACAGGCTTTGTAGGTAGAGCTCAAGGCAATGGGTGGCTTCCCAGGGCCTCTGGGCCTGCTGGGTCAGGAGGATGTGCACAAACAGAGGAGAACATCCCTGGAGTGGGGTAAAGCATGAGCCAAGAGGCCTGGAGAACAGTGAGGACCCTGGATTCCCCACATCCCTCTGCTTGAAGTTCCTCATTGACCCAACCTCTTCAGGGCTCTTTCAAGGCCTGAGCTTTATTGGCTGTATTCAGTGTGGTGCAGAGGTCATGAGCACACTTTCTATCTGGTAGGGGCCTAGATTTTCCCAGGATCTGGAGAGGAGTAAGCCAAAAACAGCAGAACAACCCAGGCCTTGGTGTCACCCCTCCCTGTTTCACCTAATCCTGCAGATTGCAGACTTTGGCCTCTCCAATCAATACCACCAAGACAAATTCCTGCAGACATTCTGTGGGAGCCCCCTCTATGCCTCACCTGAGATCATCAATGGGAAGCCCTACATGGGCCCAGAGGTATGTATCCACCAGCCTCCCTTAGTCATTACCTATGACTTGAGATCCTGTGAGGTAGATGGCTAGTTTTCTAGTTATTCCCTCTTTCAGAGCAAAAAAATTCCCCAGGTCTCTAGCCAAAAGTGGCAAAACTAGAACTAGAACTTTAGTCTCCTCACTCCCCATCCAGTTCTTTTCCTCCCTCACCTTCCTAGTTCCAATTACCTTTCTGGGCACCAAATCTGGCCTCCCTGGAATGATCTAGAGGTGGTATCTGTCACAACCACCCCATGCTGGCCCAGAAGGGAGGACCTGCCCTTATGCTTATAGCTGTTCCCCACCCCTCAAGGAAAGGTGATGGCATCTCTCCCTATGAACCCCAGTCTCTTCTACTGCAGCCTCGCTCCCTTATCCCCCGGGTGCTACAAGGACATTGTTTCCAGACACACTGCTTCTGAGTTCCCCAGTGTGGTTCTTTTTTCCTCTGATATTACAGTGAAGCTGGTATCCCTCCAGCCTATGCACAGCATGTGGGTATCCTTGCTGATCTTCTCTCTTGTTCAGGTGGACAGCTGGTCCCTGGGTGTTCTCCTCTACATCCTGGTGCATGGCACCATGCCCTTTGATGGGAACGACCATAAGACACTGGTGAAGCAGATCAGCAACGGGGCCTACCGGGAGCCACCTAAACCCTCCGGTGAGTGGGAGATGTGGATGTTCCCATTTAGGCCCTGGGTATCTTTCTGAACAGAGTAGAGATGCTGATTCCTTATGCAGGAATTCAACATGGGCTCACAGTCACTAATGCAAAGAAGACCACAGCCCATTGAGATCCATTGTAGATTAGGACACCCTCCACCTACATCCATTTGTCATCCCCCTGCTTCCAAGACATGTGACCTCAGAAAAAAGGATGGAACATCTCTTCCTTCCCTTATGGGCGTGCTTGAGTATATTTGGGAAATGCTTCTTAAGGGCTAACATAGCTCCCTTTGCTGCAGTTGTCTCAGTTCCTATTGCTTTTCTGTTCATCCTCAGAAATCTTTTTTTTTATTATTTTATTGAGGTTTGGGTGAAAGTTTACAAAGCAAATTCATTTTCCATACAGCAGTTCGCATATACTTCATGTCATGACATTGACTACAATTTCCCAGAATGGAACAGCTCTCTTCCCACTTCCTCCCCCTAGTTACCTCTTCCCTGTGTCTTTCCCTCCCATACACTCCTGACCCCTGAGCTGTCTCCCTGTGCATACACAGTCCTTCTATTCTCCCATGATTGATCTCTCCAAGGAGTGTATCTACTTAATGTAAATGTTCAGTTCATATGCCTGTCTTTTGTTTGGCTGAAAGCCACCAGAGAGGGTTCAATTCTAGACCTGAAGGGCAGCTAGGGGCCATAGTCTCAGGGGTTCCACCAGGTGCTATCAGACCAGAAAACCGTGTCCTTTTCTTTCTTTTTTAATGATTTTGAGTTTTGTTCTACATTGTTCTTCCACTCCATCCAGGATCTCCTACATAGATCCCCCTCCGAGTGGTTGACAATGGTAGCCAGGCATCATCTAGTTCTTCTGGTCTCATAGTCATATAGGTTGAGGGTCGTGTGGTATACCAGTCCCTTGGACTAATTGTTTCCATGCATCTTTGGTTTTCTTCATTCTTCTTTGCTCTGGACAAAGATAGACCCATCATTGCATCTAGATGGCCACTTGCAAGCTTTTAAGATCCCAGTCACTGGCAAAAATAGGATGTGGAACAATGTTTTTCTGTAGTACGTTATGCCAATTGAGCTTGATGTTCTCTGCGACCATGGTCCCAAGCCCACAGATCAACTACTCACTCCCTCTGGGTAGCTGGCTGTGGCCAAGAAGTGACTACAACCTTGTCCCTTCTCAGCTCTACTATATACCTAGGAATTCTTACAGAACATACAAATACACTTGTAGAAACATTGTCTGCCAACCCTATACATAGTCATGCATGGGTTGTGAAAAGCCTCCTTGCTTTTGTGTCTAATCTCTCCTTTTTATATTTCAAAAGTGGTTAGGTTTAGAACCCACCCTGCATTGCTATGGCCTCATTAATATAACAAAGAAAACCCTGTTTCCAAATGAGATTACATCCACAAATATAGGGGTTAGGATTTACAACACTTATCTTTGGGGGACACAGCTCAATCCATAACAGAGACTGAAGTAGGAATGGACATATCTGATGCAGGAGTAAGCAATGGCGTAAACTCAAATAGGGTGAGCTGGTGAGATAGGGACAGTGGGGTACCTATTCTCAGGGCTACCAAATTGAGGCCTCTCCCTGTCCTCTGTCTTCCAGATGCTTGTGGCCTGATCCGTTGGCTTTTAATGGTGAACCCCACCCGCCGGGCCACACTGGAGGATGTGGCCAGTCACTGGTGGGTCAACTGGGGCTACTATACCCATATTAGGGAGCAGGAAGCCACACATGAGGGTGGGCACCCCAGCAATGACTCTGCCCGGGCCTCAATGGCCGACTGGCTTCGCCGCTCTTCCCGGCCCCTCCTGGAAAACGGGGCCAAGGTGTGCAGCTTCTTCAAGCATCATGTGCCTGGAAGTGGGGGCACTACCCCAGGCCTGGAGCGCCAACATTCACTCAAGAAGTCCCGCAAGGAGAATGACATGGCCCAGTCCCGTCAGGGGGACCCAGCTGATGACACTGCCCCTCACTCTGGCAAGGACGACCTCAAGCTGCCAAAAGGCATTCTCAAGAAGAAGAACTTAAGCCTGGCAGAGGGGACAAAAGAAGAACCCTGCAAGCTCAGCCCAGCCCCTGCCAACCCTGGGCAGGCTGCTCCCCTACTGCCCAGGAAGGGCATCCTCAAGAAGTCTCGGCAGCGGGAGTCTGGCTACTATTCCTCACCTGAACCCAGTGAGTCCGGGGAGCTCTTGGATGCAGGGGACGTGTTTGTGAGTGGTGACCCTGTGGAGCAGAAGCCCCCCCATGCCTCAGAGCTACTCTTCCATCGCAAAGGAATCCTCAAAAACAATGGCAAGTTCTCACACACAGCCTCCAAGCTCACAGCCCCTGCTGCCTTTGGCTCCTTGGATGAACTAGCCTCCCCACGTCCTCCAGCCCGGCCCAGCCGCCCCTCAGGGGCTGTGAGTGAGGATAGCATCCTGTCCTCTGAATCCTTTGACCAGCTGGACTTGCCTGAACGGCTCCCAGAGCTCCCTCTGCGGGGCTGTGTGTCTGTGGACAACCTCATGGAACTTGAGGAGCCCCCCTCAGAGGGCCCTGGAAGCCGCCTGAGGCACTGGCGGCAGGACCCCCTAGGGGACAGCTGCTTTTCCCTGACAGACTGCCAGGAGGTGACAGAGACCTACCGACAGGCACGAGGGGTCTGCTCCAAGCTCAGCTGAGGGTGGGGGAGTGTGGCCTCACCCATGCAGACACTGAGATGCAGCTGACTGCACCCCACAGGGAGAATGCCTTCTCCCCTGCTCAAGGACCAACATCCCAGCCCAATAAGCTGAGAGGGTTTGCAGTGGAGCCCTAGGGAGGCCTGGATGTGGGCAGTGGGCAGGTGAAGTACATTGAGGGTTCAATGTCTTCAACACTGTCATACCAAGAAGAATATAGGGAAGAAGAGTAGAGAAGCAGAGGGGAATGGAAAGACCCCTGGTAGAGTCCAGGTTGCCTGTTTCTTGTAGGGTGGGGCTATAGAGATCAGGGGAAAGAGCTCTCCATCAGTGCCTGTCTCCTCTATTGCAATGAGTAACTTTTGTGCATGGTGCCTTCCACCCAGGACAGCTGCTTCCTTCCTCATCCCCATCACAGTGGGGTGGAAAGTCCTCACACACTCACACTCCTCTCTCTACCAACCACTGGAACTGAACTACAGTAACCCCTCGCATGCCTGGAGCTTTCCCAGTATCCTGGGAATGGTCTCCAGGAGTGAATCCTATTTCTCCTAGGACTAAGAGAACACAACCTCTGTTTCCTCAAAGGTTCTCCTCACTTTCTCATCCTCCCAACCTGGCCCAGGCCTCCTGGGATCGCTGCTATGAATCCAAAAGACTTGAAAAGGCTCAGACTGCTGCATGAACTTCATCTCAAGGGACCCAGACTCCTCTGGGACCCAACTTGGACCTCAGAGTCTCTCACATCCCCGCCAAGCTGCTCCTGGTACTGAGAATGGATGTTTCTGTTTCTCTGGGCTTTCAGGACCTTAGAATGTCCTTATTTATTTTTATGTGCTCAACTCCGTGTTTTTTTAAAAAAGAACTCTGGCTGTTTTCAATAATGTGAATGTTCTGGGGAAATCCACTATGACATGTAAGGTTTATGTACAGAGAGATATTTTTGCAATGATTACTCCCCTTCCTCCTTCACTGATGTTAGGGTGGGAATCTCTGGCTCCCCTTACTCTGGGCCCTGATTCTGTCTGTGGGATAGTCCCTCTTCCCTCCCGTGGTCAGAAAGAACCACTCCATTAAAAACAGAATGGTAATTGGAAAACCGTGTTTGTTGTTCTGTTTGGGGGTTGATGACTGCCAGAAGTGGGCAAATAGAGAAACTGTTTAATCAAAACAAACCAGCCAAAAAACACTGAGCTGCCCATTAACATCTCCCTTAACAGTTCTGCCCAGGACCTATTACACTGGTGGAAAGGACTGGGCCAGGGGTCCCAATTTGCTCTTCTTTGATGTTAAAGAAGCTCTGGGTTTGGCAAATTATACAGACCCACCCCTACTCTTTTACCCTCTAATCCCACTTCCTCCCTTTCCCCCCCCCCCCCCAACATACTTCACCTTTACCCTACCTTGAAGACACCCCCCACAGCCTCTAGTTTCTCCTTCCAAAGAAATCCCCTTTCCTCCAGTGCTGGGCAGCTTCTACCACCTCACCCCCTACCGCCTGACTTCCAAAGAAAGTAAGAATGCTTGGAATGCCCCCACTCCGTCCATCCCCTTCAACCCCCTGCAGAGCATTCCCCACGAGCCAGCTCCATTGAGAAACTTCTAGGCTCCAAGGCTGAGGAAGAAAGGGTGGATAAGGACAAAGTGCAGGCAAGCAGCTGACCAGCTTCAAGCAACCTCTTTTTTCCACCCCCTACATGCTCCTGATGTCCACAGGCCCTAAAACCTCCTGAGTTCTCGCCAACTCCAGCTCCCGCTCCACTGCACACCTGCCCTCCCGAAGCCAGTGGAACATCTGGATCTTCCCTCCCTGCACCTGGAAAGTCACTGAATTGGAGGAGGGGTGGAGATGGCAAGGCTAGTCTGGAATCAAAATGCCAGAGCAAAGAAACAATTGCTCAGGCTACGCTGGAATATTTAGGTCTGATGTCTCTGAGGTCCTCCTGAGTATGTTGTTGTTTGCCGTAGAGTCAGCCCCGACTCATAGTGACCCCTCCTTGGGTTTCCGAGGCAGTATCACTAGGGAAGTAGGAATGCCCAACCTTCCTTCCGAGGAGTGGCTGGTGCGTTTGAACTGCCAGCCTTCTGGTTAGCAGTCAAGTGCCTTAGGCACTATGCTACCAGACCCAAGCTCCTCCTGAGCAAACCAAAAGCAATCCTGCTGCCATCAAGTCAATTCCAACTAATATTGACCCCATGTTAATGTTACAGACTAGAACTGCTCCATAGGACTTTCTTGGCTATAATCTTTAGGAAAGCAGATCACCGTGGAGCCACTGGGTCAGTTCGAAGTGTCAACCTTTCAGATAGTAGTTAAGCACAAGCCATTTGCACCACCAGGACTGGGGAAAATATAGAGAAGGGTCTTACCCTCAAGACACATAGAGTTTAGCTGTGAAGTTAAACTGTGCTCTTTTATTCATTCAACTCATGCATCAAGCTCTATCGTGTGCTAAACTATAAACTCAAACCAAACCCACTACCATTGAGTTGGACCCGACTCATAGTGATCCCTCCTTGGGTTTCCGAGGCGGTATCACTACAGAAGTAAATTACCCAACCTTCCTTCTGAGGAGTGGCTGGTGGGTTTGAACTGACAGGGGATTGTTATATCCCTTGCAACATATAAGATCTCAGCCTCAATGAGGTTGTAGACTGGAAGACAAGATAGCAAGCATATAAATAAGTAAAGATCAATAAAGAAATTGCTAATTGCCAGTCCAGATAATGTTCCATGGACGTTTTGATGAGGGAAAGAGGAATTGCAACTTGGGAGATAAAAAACAAACTCACTGCTGTGGAGTCAATTCAATCCATAGCGACCCCTCCTTGGGTTTCTGAGGCAGTATCTTTAGGGAAGTAGATTGCCCAATCTGCCTTCCAAGGAGTGGCTGGTGGGTTTGAATCACCAGCCTTCTGGTTAGCAGGCAAATGCCTTAAGGCACTACACCACCAGAGCTTTCTGGGACATAATAGAGGCTACTATTTATTTAAGTGTTTATGTATCAGGCACTTGTACTCATGATAGCCTTGTTAGTTCAGTACTGTTTCTTCTTGTTTTACAGAAGAAAAAAATGAGGCTAAAAAACATAAACTTGCCTAGCTAGTAAGTGGAGAAACCAGAGTTCAAAACTAAGTCTATAGGATACCTAGTCCAAGTGGAAAGAGTACATTTGGAGAAGTTGGATGAAGAACAAATGAATAGAACTACAAATGTTTATTGAGCATTTATTAAATATGAGGCTGTTTTCCAGGAACCAGGAATCTATAATTCCTTCTGCTTGAAATGCTCCTCTCTGGTCTCCATCACAAATCCAAAAAAGGAGAAGGGAATTTGAGAGCGATAGGAGCAGGGAAAAGTTAGGGAAGGGATAAAGAGGGAGAAGAGATCACATTCTAGGGAGGGCCTGTACCTAATAGGAAACCCAGAGGAGAATGGGGAGGGAGGGAGAGGTCACAGCTTTGCAGCCTCTTACCCATCAGAGCTGACTGGGCAGTGGCTGGGTGTGATGGTTAAGGTTATGTGTCAACTTAGCTAAGCCATGATTCTCAATGATTTGGCAGATATTATATAATCATTCTCTATTTTGTGATCTAGATGGAAGCAGCCAATCAGTTGAAAGGGGACTTTCCTTGGGGGTGTGGCCTGCATCCAATATATATGGATGTTCTGGCAAAGGTCACCTTCTCTCAATCCCACATCTGACTTTTCATCTTATAACCTCTGGTTCTTGGGGCATGAGTAAGCAGCCTGCTATCTCACATGCAGATTTTGGGACTCAGCCCTATAAGTCAATAGCCTGCTGCCATTTTGGTTTTGCCAGCCCCTGCAACCACATGGTCCATGCCATTTCCCTGGAATAAATCTCTCTCTCTCTCTCTCTCTCTCTCTCTCTCTCTCTATATATATATATATATATATATATAT